AGAGTCTTTTCCCATTAATGCACAAACACTTCGACCCCATCAAAAACTCTTTCTGCCTTCCCGTCTCCAATGTGGCTTTATCCTTGTGGACTAAATTCCTAACTGTTTAACAGCAGCTGGTGAGATAGTCAACTTAATGTGTTCTTCCACTGTTTTTGTTTGTTTGTTTTATTTCAGTGTTTGCGGTGAATACAGAGTCTGAACTGGCAGAGACAAAAACACAAGATGGACAAAAGTGTAAAATTGAATCCAGAACAAACTCCCTTTAAAGGTGCAATAAGTATGAATTTAAAGTGAAATAATTACAAATAAGTCTACGCCTCTAACTTGTTGGAAGGAAGGTTGCATTAAAACGGCTGGATGGAGGCCCAATTTACATGCGTTACAAAGTTCAGAGAGATGACTTAAGCCGGGCGTACACTGTGCGACTTTTTCACTTTTTTGAGCCGGTTTTCCACTCGTGCAAGAGTCCACGAGATCGGGGCGAGTTTTGCGCCGAGCGTCGTGTAGTGTACAGGGGGGTTATGAGAGGCGATTAACACCACGTGACCAGCTACCGATCAGCAATCGCGAGCTCGCATGGACTTCTGGCGTGTTTAATATTTTGCTCGTCCCTCATGAGGGTATCACACTGTTGAAGTGGCGCTGCGAGCAGCTGCGACCCAAAAAGTATCAGAACCGCTCACGGCGCATGCGCAATCCTGCATCAGCACCGCTCGCCCGCTATTTCCCTAATAACACACGCTGTTCGTTTTTATTTCTACACGTTTTTTTACTCACAAAGATTGTCAAGAAAGCGTGTTTGTCGTGTTCATGTCAAATTAAACTGATCACAAAACACACATTTGCTTTCTTTATTTCGTTTTCCTCATCCAACCCCCATAAATCCCTGTGTGTCCTCCTGCAGCACTCCCGAAGGACAACAGGCAAAACAAGACAAAAAAGTCTGACGTGTTGTGTAAAAACTGCTATTTTTAGCACATTTTTAGGGCCGACGTGTTGCTACCAGACGTACAGTGTGAGCAGTCAGGTCGCATCCGAGAACTGGGTCGTACAGTGTGAGCGCATGACTCGTGAGATCTGCCCTGCGAGGAAGTCGTACAGTTTGAGCTGAAGCTGAGTGCTACGAGTTAAAAAGTCACACAATGTACGCCCGGCTTAAGCCGGTAATATGGCAGTATGTAGTGGTCCTCCTGTAACATTCTAACTCTGAAAGGTCTGACTGACAGGTGTGGTCTAGGGGTGGGGGTGGAGTGAGTGATCTATCATCTAAAGGTTTAACGTCAAAATTCCTGGTTTCCCATGTCATTTAATAGATCTTGGAATTACACTGATTATAAAGCAACATGTTAACCAGTTAAAAAATAAAAGATGACAGAAAAAGGTCAAAACACATTGACAGCCATTGTCAAAACAAACAAAAAGTGCTTTTATCATTTCGTGTTATGACCCCCACACACCAAGTGGTGGAAGGAATTATGGAATCTGACAAATAAAATGGAATGCACTATAAAATTGGAGTATGATGGTGAGAAATGTTTTGTATTCTATGGTGGTATAAAGTCATGGATTTAAAATCGCATAGGTTTTCTATCATTCTTTCCCCGCAATTTAAATTCCTCTGTCAGCATGAATTTGCTTTCTTTGGGTTACACCTGGTGCTACACGCTGTCAGTTTTATGTATAAAGGTTATTTTCCTTAATTTACCACTTAATTAAAAAAAATAAATAAATCAATAAAAGACACTAAAGATTTGTAGGCTAGCAGAATCATCAGCTGTAGAGTAAGGTTGAGTCATACCAGAGGTGCTTAATGTTTCAAAGTTAGCATGAGACAAATGTTTAAGAACTTAACTTTACAAAACTATTTTTAAAGATAAAAAAGTTTAAACATAGTTTTTCTTGAGTTTTGGTTCAGATGCAGTTTTAAAATTGATCCGTTCTCATTACATTGTGCAATGTTTTTGGGGTTTGCGGTTCAGTGTGCAGTTCGGGGCCCACAACAAAGGGGCCCGCGGGCCGCCTATTGAGTGGCGCTGATCTAGAACTTACGTCTGAAATAAGTGACACGTACTGAAGATGTTCAGTAAACGTCAGTGAGGGAAGACGCTGACAGCATATGCACAGTGTCTGCATGAGTCTTATTACTAGCTGGTAGCTAGTAATACCTGGCCAGCTCGCCTCAGGTAAACTCATTTATCTCTGATTGGATGATGAGGAAAAGAGGTCTGAGAGCCGCATGCGCAGCCTCACAGGTTAAAAAAACAATTCACTTAACAAACAGGAGCTCAGGCAGCAGAGCTAGTGTGGTTCCAACCACGTTGTGTGTTTAGAAGTGGGAACAGATGCAGCAGGAAGGCAGAAAGACAGACGGGATAGTTCTGCATCACATATTTAACACATCCTTGTGTAGGATTAATACCTGAACATTTATATTTCAGAAAATCTGTGTGCTGACGATTTCCTTTCATAGACTTAATATAAAGAGGACCTTTGAGCTAGCTGATGCTAAACGTTTGGTCTATTTTATTAATTTTCCCACATTTAGATGAAAACGTATTTAGATTCATGATGTCTGCAATAAAACAAAAATGTGAATTATCTTTTCTTGGAATTCTTATTAATTAGTAGAAAAAAAATATTCAGCTCGGCATCAACTCCCGCGAAGCCGCACAGGAAACAAAATATTCAAGAGTGTTTTAACACAAAAGAAACCAAAATGGATGATCAACAAACACTAAAGGAGGAAACCTCTTGCACAGGTTAAAACGGATGCAGTCAGACTAAATGGATGTGCTGCAGAGATGAAGAGGGTGCCTGGACAGATTACAGTAATGAGCTAATCAGGATTGTGGTAGATTACACAGGATTTTAGCACATGTAAGCTCAGTTCTGATGGGGCCGGCCAGGAGGCCATGTGGTGGGCCGCGTGGAGAGCCATAGATGTCGCATGTTCTGTCCATGTGCACAAGCTGGCTCATAACAGCGTCAACACACCTGATCAGGATGTTTCACTCTCAAAAGTGAGACGTTTACGCCCAAATTAATTCCTTTTCACATGTGATTTGTGACATGAGAACTTTGTTCTTGTGATGTTGTTCACTTGCCTTCCACTACACATCACTCAAGCAGAAACGCCACACAGAACCCAAACTAAAGCTGAGTTCTTGATAAAAGTAACACTCTAGTTGTGACAGATGCCCTTTGATCCAGTCTCTGCTCTAGATGAGGTCCAGCTCTTGCCACAGCAACAGCACCTGCTGAGACTTAACCCTCTCAGGCTCAAAATAAGTCTTGGTAAAAGGACGAACAACTAAGTTCTTCAGGGGTACTTCTGAGTTAAAAATGCTCATGAAACACGTATGTGGAGTAACCAGGTAGGTAGGTTTTAACGTTGCAAATCTGCAACGCCTGCCTCCAGAGGGTTAAAACGTGACCTCGGAGTCACGGAGTGATTAGCTCCACAGATTGTGAACGTGTGAGCATGTGTCTGCTGCGGCGCACGTTTACCATTGTGCTCTCCTAACACCGTTATATAAGTCATGGCCGAACACACCTCGGTCCAGAACACACTGTATTACTGTGTAGTGTGACACCGTCATAAACAATCAATAACAACTTCCCAGGTCTAAACTCATCCACCAAACTAAGATGTTTGCTGTCAGACATTCAGCTGCTGAGAAGTTTGGCTCACACCTGGGCAAATGGAAATAACTTAAGTTCGATAAATTCCCCAAATCAGCTTTTATTTTTCAGAATAAAAATTTTCATGATTTAGTCAATTTTTCATTTAAATGATTATTATATGAATTAATATGAATTAATGAAACAAGCTTATAAGATCTTCCTGTTGATCTAGTGCACATGTCAGACCCAAAGCCCTAAGAGTAAATGTTGTCATCTGTGCAGAATCACCACCGCTTCTGTTTAAACTAGAGATGCACCAAAATGAAAATTCTTGACCGAAACCAAAAACCTAAAATGAGGAAACCAAGGCCGAAACCAAAAACACAGAAAGAGATTATTATATCAATAATTAAAACCATAGCATTTATGGCTACAATGTGTAACCGCACCAAAATCAAGGCATTGCAATAAATCATTTACAAACCATGAAAATATTTATTTAGCACTGACATAACAACAATGCACAATGTAAATTAAAACTCTAAATAAAATGTTTCATTTGACCCAACATGTCTGTACATTAAATAATAATAATTTATAAATTATAAGAAGCGACTGGATCAGCACGGAGGAGTCTGCAGCAGACAACAGGATTTGGAGTCTTATTTCCTGATATTTACATATGCCACCTCCGACGGACAACAGCAACACGACTATCACTGACTTAGTTTGCTCTGCAACACGGATGTTTTGTCACCACAAATAACATAAGCCGGGAGAAGTTCTGCTTTGTGATTGAATTGCTAATGCTAATGGTCGGCTTCCACTAGTCGAGACGTTCTCTGCTGTTTCCTGTACATTAAAACAACAACGGCCTCTCCCGTCTCGAGCCCAGATGGGTGAGTCCAAGCAACTACTTGACGTAGATCAGTCAGGCTTCTCAAATCATAGTTTCACGTCTATTTTCTCTCAGAAGCTAATGCAGGAGCTAGGTGTAGGAGATTATTTTCATGTTAACCCTAACCATCATTAAAATGTTTTTCTTAGAGTTCCACACCTTTAAGGTCTTATTTTTTACATGTAAATCTCAGCAATATTCAAGTACTTGCAAAACAAAAAGTTAAAGGTATGAGAACATGTGATGCTCATGTACAAAGAGTTAAACAACAACTAAAGTGTCTAATCCTGTTATCAATAATTAGGTCACAAAAATATTCAGTCAACAATATAAAAATCATCTAATTATGACACTTAAAAGCAGATGTTCCTCTTTGACAGGCTGGAACCTCAACATGTATTCTCTTTGAAATGATCCAAGCCCACCACCTGGCTGTGTGAGTGTACTTATGTGTGAATGAGTTCGTTTCTCTTACGTCCACGATGTCCGAGTTGGTCCTGCTCTCATGTGGCTCGTTGTATTCCGTGTACTTGAGCAGAACCTTGTCCATGTCGGTGCTGGCGTACTGAAACAGCTTGTTGGTGCTGTTGAAGATGATGAGGGCGATCTCACAGTCACACAACACACTCAGCTCGTACGCCTTCTTCATCAAACCAAACTTACGCTTGGTGAATGTCACCTGGGGAGAAGAGGAAGTGAGGAAGAGTTTTAACTCCTCCAGCTTTCTCATGGACGTTCTGAAACTTGCTATACTTTAATTCTCTTCTGCATGGCATCTAGCTAAGTTTTCCACATGAAAACACATCCGCAGAATAGAGGGTTGGGGTTAGGGTTATTATTAAAATAACCCCAACCATAATTTATTTATTATTTTTATTGCAAATAATAAACTTATGGTCATTTTGGAGAAATGTCCTAGTAGTGCAGTATCAAAGTGAATGTTGTGTGAATAAACGGACAATAAGACCACGAAAATAGAATCTAAGATGTATTTCAAAATTTTAACCCAAAAAATGTCATTTATTTTCAAGGAGAGGGAGGGGCATGAAACCTATTCTGGAGCCAGCCACTAGGGGGACAGCTGCTTTGTTCTGGGTTCCATTCAGATGTCTGACACACATAGGGTGTGTCTGAATCTGTGGGAAGGATGCTTGCAAGGGTGCATTTTGAGGTCGATGACGTCACAGCGCAGCGACGAGTACTGTCCGAATTCCAAGAATACTCATTCTCGCGTCCTCAAATGCGTCCTCGCTCCGCCCACATTTCGAGGACGAGTTTGTTGCATCCTCACAGAACAAGGCTATACCAGCATGCTTTGCGCGCCGGCTGTGGATTTTCAACAGGCAGAGAAAATGGGGAGAGCTACGAAGTTTTAAACGTAAGTTTGTTTAAAAACTAGCCGTAGAAACCTTAAAAGCTTAAAGCGGTTCAGTTTATAGACATTTTTCGTTTGTATATTTGTTTTTTAAATTACATTTTAGGCAGAAATCAGCCAGAACGGGATTGTAATGCGGGTCCCGTAGTTATTCCTGTGTGTGTGTGTGTGTGTGTGTGTGTGTGTGTGTGTGTGTGTGTGTGTGTGTGTGTGTGGCGAATTAAACTTGTCATTTGTTTTAGGGACAACAGAGCAGTTTTATTAAGCTTAGAGGTGAAGAGTGAAGCTGTCTACACACGGCCACAGAATTTTCTCCTGTGTTCTGCTCTGCTGTGAAAAGTATTTCAACATTCAGGGATTTATCCAGCTGACACGTTTTAAAGAAGTTAAAATTGTTTGTGTGAAGAATAAAATTTTTATCTTCTCATGTGGGCTGCATGGTGGCGCAGTGGTTAGCACTGTTGCCTCGCAGCACAAAGGTTGCAGGTTCGAAACTCGGCTGCGGCCTTTCTGCGTGGAGTTGCGTGTTCTCCCCATGCATGCGTGGGTTTCCGCCGAGTACTCCGGTTTCTCCCACAGATCACAACATGCCCTATAGGTTATAAATTGTAAGTCACTTTGGATAAAAGCGTCTGCTAAATGAATAGACATAAATGTGTTTATTGCTTTTTTGTCACCTGTGATCTGGTTTTCTCTCTTTAGGACTGCAGGTGTCCAGGGTCAGGAGAGGCTTTACCTGGTGGTCCTCCTGAGAGAGAGGCCCTCTACTGTCATCATGTTATTGTTATTTAGCTGTTTGATATTTGAACACATTTATTAAAACAAATACTAACTGATAACTCTTTCTGGTCATTGATTTTATCACCAGTTTTATTATTACAGATGTTTTTGAACATGTTACATGAACAGAAAATGAAAAGATGGTAAGGAGACAAGATTATTTATAATACGTTACAAATATTTACAGATCAAAACCAGTATGGACCAGTTAAAGCAGGATTAACCTGAGTGACTCTTCCTGGATCATTTATTTAAACTGAGTGAGCAGGAGGTCTTTAACAGTGCAGCTGGATCTGCTGCAGGAGGATCCAGACGTGGATGGAGGGCTGGAGCAGACCCGTGGCTGGACGTTTCTGGCCAGAGGAACATCATACAGGACGGTCTGCAGAGAGAGCTTTGGGACGCTTCCTCTCACTGTCCACTCCTTCGTCCATCTACAGGGACTGCTGGGCTGGCTCAGACGACGGCTGTTACATCTCTAAGATGTATTCAGAAATATGAGAGGAGATGGTTTTGGATCCACTGGTGTAACAATTGTGACTCTTCAGCAAATAAAACCACAGTGTTGTTTTTAACAGAGGCTCCTACATAAATGACTTGCCTGTTAACAGTAGTGGTGGTCTGCTGGTACCTCCTCCAGGACAGAGCACCACTGACCTCCTCCACACACATCTTCCTCAGGCTCATCCTCCAGACCCACAACTTCATCAGCACAGAGGCAGATGTGCAGCACAGTGCATGCTGACCTGTAATAGATTAAAAAAAGAGTTTTTTAAATTGAAAAATGTTAAAAAAAACATTAGGCTTAAGTTGAATAAACAAATGCACATTGAAAACACTTCAATGCTATTTTATTAAAACACCTGTTTTTTAAAGCATTTTACCCTCATTTGATGCAAAATAAGAAGTTCTAAGGTCCACTTTACATTAGAAAACATCCTGTTGCATTCAACATTTATAATGCATTTCGTTTATACTAATTACCTACATGATAATACTCTGTAGTAATGTGTTGTGTACATTTAACCAGTTAATTCTGTAGATTAAAACATGCATGAAACCATCTAAAGTTAACATGTAAGTCCTGAAAGCTTCTAGAATAAACAAAGTTACTTTACCTGAAAACGGCTGTGAACAAACGCTGCTGATGGACGTGAAGCTGCTGTAGCTCCTTAATATTCCTGCTCGATTTTCGTTAGCTTTAGCATTTTTCCTTTGCGTGTAGCTGCCGCCACGGCTGTGACGGGACCTACGGGCCACCGTAGAGGTGAAGGCTAGACTGTCCAAATTCAGAGCCGCTGGGTTCCGGTTTTAGCGGTCTTAAAGGACCCGGCCTTGCAAGACCGGCGAGGATCCGTACTCATAAGCATCCTACCCGTGGATTCAGACACTCCCATAGTGTAGTTGAGAACCGTCAGGCCGATTGTTAGGCCTTTAATTAATCGTTGAACATTCTGAAACATTTTATTTTGTTTTTGTTGTTATTTGTTAATACCCCGAAATGTTTTTATATTTATATTCATGTTGTCCTTTTCTCTCTCTATTAAGGTAGCGCGACTCAGTTGTGAATGACCACAGTCACCAATTCTTGTCATGTGCCTTGCCCAGTATGTCTGATCTCTGAATTGTGTGTACTGAAACTCTAATTTCCCTTCCCTGGGACAAATAAAGCTTTTCATTTCATATTTATATTTTTCCATTGAACTGGTACTATTTCTAACCCACAATAAAATGAAACAGTCTTTAGGTGATAAAAACATGGAATTTAGACAAAAATAAATAAAGCTCATTTCAAAACAAGTGCTGGTTTGTATTGTTGGCTTGAGGCAGCAGGATGCTTCTGCAGACTGAAGACAAGCTAACAGCTTAACTCTTCTAAGTGGTTTGTTAGCAAACTAGCAGGCATCATCAAAACTCACTGTGTCCATTCCAAACATATTAATCCCTTAAAAACCAAACTAAATTGGAGAACATGACGCTGGTGCAATACAAAGTGCCTATTCGTGTAAACCTTTATATGACAAAGCTAAAGGATCAGAGGTTTCTCCTCCTGTGGGCTCAGAATGTTAAAAGTTAATCTGGATGATCTGAACCCAATAAGTAACCCTCTGGAGGCAGGCGTTGCAGATTTGCAACAGTTAAAACCTACCTACCTGGTTACTCCACGTATATATTTCATGAGCATTTTTGAACTCAGAAGTACCCCTGAAGGACTTAGTTGTTCGTCCTTTTACCAAAACGTATTTTGAGCCTGAGAGGGTTAACAGCTTTTAATCGTTTATGGAAACCAGGATACATAAAATCCTGATGAAATTTATTCTCCTGTGTGATCAGATTGTGTTTATTGGACCTGCTTTTGGCTTTACTGTAACCAGAACTAATGAACTGAAACTTGATGTGTAATATTTCATACGATAGAAGGCTCAGACAGTCACTGAGGTCAGTTGTGCCTGGTATGGGGTCAGGATGCACATGTACCTGCATTTCCTGTCAAAACAGGAAGAGAGGAACCGTTCCCTCAGACAGAACGTGTGTGTGTGAGTGTGTGTTCTTCTGTGTGCACTTCAGTGTGACGTGTGACAATGCAAAAGTCCTATTGAAAATGAGTTCTCGTTACTCAGCTGTCATGTAGCACTGAGCTGCACTCGGTGAGTGCTTGTGAGCGTCACATGATAGTGTATGTGTGTATGAGTGTGTGTGTGTGTGTGTGTTTACAGCGGTGTTTTATCTCTCTGTGCTTAGAAACCTGCACTTAAAAAACAAAAAAATAACAAAATTACAAACTTTTCCCCACAGCTTCAAATAGATATAAAAATGTTTGTTATTTTCACTAGATGAATTATTATCTGGTGTTAGGACGACAGTTGTGTTTGGTGCAACATCCGAACTAACCAGGATGTTAACATCAGTGGTTTTAACTCACTAAATTAGTCGTGCCAGAGCACATCTTAGTTAAATGAGGGATATGACCTTTGTTTATTGCATTGCAATGCAGACACAATGAATCTGAATATATTTGAAAAGATTCAAAATGAATAATTTTGCTGTTTGTGGCGATGAGGGGTAGTATTTACATTAGCCCTTAGCTCTTATTATGAAGGGGTTTGAAAGGAAGTGTTTTTTCACTTTGGAGAAACTGCTGGAAAATAAAGATGAAACTCTGAATCTGTAAACCTGTGTGTGTGTGTGTGTGTGTGTGTGTGTGTGTGTGTGTGTGTGTGTGTGTGTGTGTGTGTGTGTGTGTGTGTGTGTGTGTGTGTGTATGTGTGTGTGTGTTTACACTCATAACCTCTGGTTAAAACTGCAAAAGGATTGTAAGCAACAACCTGCGATTAAAAACTGGTAAAGCTTCTCAAATCAAGGACTACAGCATCAGTTAAGATGCATTAGCTGTAGCTTAACCACTGGATGCAGATGACCTGTTAGATATTTGTTTCCCTCGTCACATTGACTTTCTTGCCTCACGTTGCACAGATAAAGAACATAATCAGCTAAAGGAATTAGCCAGTGCAGGTAAACCCCAACATCCAATGACTTTATGAGTTTCATTAAAATCTGTTCAGCAGTTCACCAGATAGTTTGCTAACTAACCCACTAACAGGCAAAAACATGTTTGCCCACCTCTTGCTTTTCAGCAGCGGGTGGTACAAACCAGATAAGTGAGCAACTGAACAAATAACTGATGAGTTAAATATGACACACACATGTTTGCTTAAATACTTTAACAGATTTTAAACCCTGTTGAACAGAAATCTGACTTTAAGATTCTTGCTGTCACTTTTATGTGTACTTTTTTCTCCAGATTTAGGGCCTACACAATAAACAGGAGGAAGTGCACATGATCTGAATCCAGTTTCTGTTTGCTTACGTGTCTGTTCCGTTCATCCATAATCCGTGCAATCTGAATCTTTTTTCTCCCCATCTTCGCAATTGTTCCTGCTGCTTTTCCTCTTTGTCGCACGTGTCTTCTGGCTACTTCAGTTCACTTCCAGGTGCTCGAATATTCTCACTTCTCAGTCTCAAACTTCTGGCTGGCACCTGCAGAGGAACAGCAACAACCATGTTCAGTTAAAAGTGAAAATGGTGGCCTCTGAAATCAGGAATCATCACAACACCAGGTGTGTTTAGAGGACATACAGCTTAAAACAGGGAAACAATTACTTGCTGAATTACCGAACGGTCACAAAATACTGTTTATTTAATCATTCTTTTATTTTGGATTCCTGTCAATTAATTTCATGAGATTAAAACATGATGAATGCAGAATAAAACCTCCAGCAGAAACATGCATGGGCATTGCATCTAATTACAACATGAGTGTTTTTGGTGCCGAGTCGTGCTTCGGTGCAGAGTTCAGGGTATGTGCACGCTCAGACAGGCAACAAACCTTCCTTTTACGTGTCACTGTTTCTTTATCCCCAACATGCCCAAAAAACAGCTTCCTCAGGATGTTACCACGCATTTGGGAGGAAGTGAAACAAGTCAGCATGTCAGAATGCAAATAACACAGAGCGGTAGTTTGATTGGACCGTTCGCCGGGTAAAAACCATCTGCTGCTTTGAAAAGCCACGCTCAGAGAGGGGAGTTTTTTCTCAACCACTTACCAGAGGACTTCCTCTCTTGTTGGAGCTGAATCAGGACCGGCGAGTGGGAAACACCACAGCTGAGTTAAAAATACTCCCAGATTAAGCCTTACTGTTATTTATTGTACGAAGGGTTGGCTCAGATCTGCTAACGTTGATTTTAAGACCCAATGAGACAACTGGAGTCAGCATATTCACTCAGCTGCATGAAATAAAAAAACATGTAGAAAAACCTGAACAACCACCTCGCCTTCATCAGGGTTGAGTCCGAGCAGTTTCCTTTTTCCTGACATACAATCATGCCCAGTTACGGGGAACTATTCTGCATCTTTGACTATTGGAAGGTGTTTTTGCTCCTCGACTTAAAAAATGAAGAACACAAGCTTGTGGAGAACACTAAAGATAACCCAATCTAAACATTTCAGCTACAGGGAAACATTTAACCACGTCAAAAGTGTTCATATAATGTCATCCAAAGCCTTTTCCGTTTTCCTTGTGTGTGCACAGCTGGAGGAAGGAAAACGAAATTGGGGATAAAGACCTCAGATTAATGCAGGCTTTGTCTGCTGTTAATCAATTACCTCAAAAACATGATCTGTCCGCCCCCCAGCACGCCCACTCTAGGTGATCGGACGGACTAATCCCCCGCCCCCCACTCCACCTCCTTGCACTTACAGTGTTCTCACTGGGCTCCCTCAGAAGCCTGTGTGTAATTCGAGCCCTGGTCTCTTACCCCTACTTCCTGCCTTAGCCTGCGATAGAAAATAAACGGTGAAACGCTAGGATTAGAAAAGCCAGCGAGATCTACGACACACTGAATATCAGCATTCATGGACTCCTATCTTATCTTGCAACGGGGAAGGCTGTTATCGGTTTGGCGTCCAGTAATTAGCAGAGAACGCCTCGACTAGTAGAAGCTAACTCTTAGCATTAGCAACTGCACCACACGCCAGAGGCTCCTCCATGCTTGTGTTATTTGTGGAGGTAAAACATCCACAGTGCAAAGCAAACAGAGTCAGTGGTAGAGTTGCGTTGCTGTTAGCCAATCAGAGGTGAGGCATCTGAAAATCAGGACATAGGACTCTAAAACCTGCTCTGCTCCCCTCTCTGGCTAACGTTTTCTTCCTCTTTAAGTGTATTTCTTTTCAAAAATTATAATAATTCTTTGTTCCAGTTCTAATTGTTATATACTGTTGCTCTCTTAAAAATGCTCCAAACTTCAAATTTTTATCACAGTTTATGAAAACACAATCCTATTAACCTTTATTTCACCACTAATTTACTGTAATATGTTTATTATCGCAGCAATAATAGGGAATTTCAGCCAGACTCGATCTCTGAAGCCATCAGAGGCGCTTGTGAATAATTGTAATTAGTTATTAACGGAGGTGTAAAAGCTTTAGAAAATAACATTGCTTTATGAAATGTTACGAGTTTTTAAAGGTGGCAGCAATTTGTTGTTGTCATCATGCACAAAGTAAGCTCTGAATAGAGAACATTCAGGGAGCTACCTGCTATTTAGATAACTACTAATAATAAAGCGATAATTTTTAAAATGAAAAGTGCTTCAAAATGACCAAATTATTAAATTAATATTTCTCGGTTTATGTGTCACAACTATATAAATTATGGTTATATATTAATGTGTTTATGACTCCAGTAAAACAACATTTATTTTACATACACTAGATCTTCACATTTCGCATCCCTCTGTAGGTATTTGAGACAAAACAGACTCCAGGAACAATGAAACTATCCCTGGTAAAGTAGCAACACTTTCAACACACATTCATTTATTTCTGCCTGTTACTCACTTTTCATCTCTAGAGCAGCTTGTAAAGTGTGTCGGCTTAAGGTTACACTGCAGGAGAAGTTGTTCCTGTTTGTTAACAAAGCTGAAAGGTGACTGAACTTATTAAAAAGTGTGTTTACATTTCCGGTTTGTCATTTGTTATTTTGCACCATCCTTCTGTTTGTTTCTAGATGCCAGCGAAGTATCTCCAGCTGTGGCGGCATCAGTGTAGACCAAAGACAGCAAAGGACTTCATTCTCTAAGCAGGTGAGGTCTAGACCTCGTTCTGCTTTCAGATTAATTACGTTTGCATTCAGAAAAACCTGAAACAATTAAAGGTTTTAAATCAGTTGCTTCAAACGTGCCAGAAATTGTAAAATTTAAATGTAGTCCAAATTTGACTCAACCTCTTGGCTTTCCTTCAGGTCACACATCTGACATCACAACAGGGCAGAGTGGTCAGGAAATTAAACCTTTAATGGGATGTCACTTTCATACAAACAAGTCTTCTTCAGAGTGCTGTGATATTTTATTAGTCAGACTTTTGTTAATTTTGTGTGTGCCACAAGAAACCCAACTTAAAGAGCTCAAAGAGGAGTGTGTGCTCTACTGTGACAAATCCTCTGTGTGTATATACCATGTGACCTCCTGAAGTGAGGTTTAATGTTCAGCTTGCCAAATTAAATGGATGTTCACACACACTGCAACACACACACAGATGCAATTCTGCTGGTAGTGTTGTCTGCTGTCGTCAGAGTGAGGTGAGGACATAAGAGACAGCCTCTGGTTCACCAGATGAAACGGAGGATTAGTGACGGGGTAAGGTGATGACGACGGAGTTTGCACTCTGGACAAAGGGCTGAAAAAATATGGTGCAACTTTTTTCGCACTACCTGCCTCTAATTATCATCGTAATTAAAATGTGTTAAGATTTGAGCTGCAAGAACCTGCTGTGTCAGCGGTGATTTTCAGTAATACGACAGGTTTTTGGTCTAGACATGAAAAACTTTCCTTTCAAATAGATTAGACACACGAAAGGAAAGCATGAATTTATCCAACCCATTATAAACATAAAATTACTTTATAAATAGATTAAACTCAATGTGCGGAACAGTAGCGGAACGTCACTGCTTCAGAAACAATCCATTAGAGTCTATGAGGGTGATTCAAGCCAGTCACGACGCAGAGATCTACAGGTGCGTCCCGGAAGCGGCACAGTTCTATTTACGCCACGAGCCACTTCTGGAGTGCATCAATTTCCACAGTTCACATAGGACTAGATAGGAAATCACACACAATTTCAGTGTAAAGCCTCGAGTAATTTTTAAAATAAAAGACTATTGCAGTGATGCTACTTCATATCTATGTATATTACATCAGCATGTGTGACCCAATGGCTTATTTACTTCGAGCATTGTTCCACAAGTGCTCTGTGTGTTTTTCGTGGCTTTAATCCTGTCAGTGGAGAGGAACATCATGACATCAAACAGCAATATCAAACATGATTTCCTTGTTCTTGGTTTGATGACCGATGGCATGAACAAACCATGACCTTTGAAGTCTTGAAGGACTTTGTGATCTTGCGAGTCCTGCGAAGAGCACAGCAGAGGAGCCGCTCTGCAGCTGAGATTCTCCCGGTGTGTACTGGCACACAGCGAAGCCCGCGAGTAAACCGTTCTGCTGCCGTTCCCGTCCACTGATGCTTCCAGTGTGAAGTAGGGGTAATAACATACACTTGAGCTCCACCACTAAATTATTATTTTTAGCCTAAATATAGAAAATGATTTAAACAAACCCGAAGCAAAATGTCATCAATATTTTTATTCTAAATTTAAATGTTACCCATTTTTTTCAGTAGATTACACTAAAATCTGTCCCTCGCTGGAATATGAGAGCAGGTGAAATTTGAAAAATTAGAACATGGAGCAAAAGTTCTTTTATGTCAGTAATTCAACTTAAAAGGTAAAACAAATACATGAGAAAGACTCATTATATGCAAGGCCTTTATTTGTTATAATAGTGATGATCATGGCTTACAGCTTAGGAAAACCTCACATTCAGAATTTCATACAATTAGAATGTTATAAAGAGGTTCATTATTCTAGACTCAAAGTGTCACACTCTAATCAGCTAATGAATCCAGAACACCTATAAAGGGTTCGTGAGCCTTTAGGTGGTTTCTCAGTTTGAGCTGGATTACTGAAATGAATGGTAAGTGGTCTGTATTTGATATAGCGCCTTCTAGAGTCCTGGAACCCCCCAAGGTGCTTTACAACACAATCAGTCATTCACCCATTGGTGGTGATAAACTAAACTGTAGCCACAGCTGCTCTGGGGCGCACTGACATAGGTGAGTCTCACAAGGACAGACACCACCGGTCCCTCCGAACACCACCAGCAGGCAAGGGGGGTTAAGTGTCTTGCCCAAGGACACAACAACAGACAAACTGAGCAAGGCTCGAACCTGCAACCTTCCGATTACAGGGCGAGAACTTAACTCCTGTGCCACCATCGAAATAAACACACAAGCAATGTGCTGCTACAATGTATGTATATATATATATAAGCCTTAATAATCGGCGTTAGATATTGGTCATCAGCAACAAAATTCTTTAAAAATCTACATCGGCCTTAAAAAAAACCACATCGGTCAACCACTAGGC